CACGAGGGCTATCTGAGCTACTCCTCCCTAATTCAGCAGTGTAAGACTAGAGGGAAGGCATCACCACCCACCGCCAACTCTTGGGCAACTCTTTTACCAACGAATAGTGGGATTGACCGCAACATTATAACGCCCCCACGGCTGAAAGGGCGAGCATGTTTGGTGTGACGGGGATTCGAACCAGCGACCCTCAGATTGCGAGTCGAGTGCCCTAACCACCTGGCCATGCCGGGCCGCCCCTGGATATACTGTAAATATATATTGTTTCTAAAAACTATTTGTAAACGATATTTTTCACAAACCTTTAAGGATATCTTGTGTGTATGAATTTTTTTTTATCTTTAAATTAAAACTTACTTGTTTTATCTGTGCTTTTCATCGAAATAGCCAATAATCTTAAAACTGGAAAAACAAATAAAATCGAAAACATAGTCACTGTTAAATTAAGCTCTGTTTCCCTAACTATTTGCTTCATATTTCAATATGAAATCTCACTGAAATATCCAATTGAATTATATTAAAATCTATTTATGAATATGGAGTTTATGTGTGTGTGTGTGCGTTTGTAGTCCTAAAATATACTCAATACAGCTGTGCAACCATTTGTTTTGTTGGACGTCCTTTTGGAAGTCCAGAAACTAGTAAGTTATCATATGGTGGTTGTTGATGTTAGAATTAAGGGAGTTTTAATGCATATAACACAACTGAAATGTGCTCCAAACATATGTGATGGTTCTTTTTTATTTCAAAAAGCAATTTTTATATCTAGGCTTAGGCTTACATTTATTAACACTATAGTATCATTTGCTACGTCTTCTGAGTAAATGAAGTTATGTTCATTTAATCATTAAAAAATAAACACCGCTATCACACTTTCACGTCTTTCTGTGACTGCCTGAAAAAATTCAGTTTTAGCAAGCTCATATAAGGTACTAGGTATTGGTACTACATTGCAATGTGACGTCCTCTCGTGGCTAAATTAGGCAACTGAATCTATGCTGTGAGAATATATTGTTCAGATGCTTAAGTGACAATAAGTATTTCTTAAAGCAGTGTGTATAGATATAGTACTTATGTATTTTCCGTTAATGTAAAAAACTAAAAGTAATAAGCTAACAGTCATAATATAGCCTAACAAATGAAATTACAGTAAGGTAACATATACCTTTTTTTGTCAGTAAAAAAGGTCTGTAACTAACTGATATTTTGTCATAAACAGCCCACCTTATGATTAGGTATAAACTTAATCTAGAAAATAATACAACACAAAAAGTTAAACAACCTAAAGGAATTCTTTTAAAGTCTTAACTGTAATTTGGCAAATCATATCGTGCTTTATCTTGATAAGTGATTGACATTATTACAATTATTTGTCATCGCATGCAAATAATTTTAGTTTAGAATACATTATAAAAATTAAGTTAAATCATTCAATTGTATTTTTAAACATAGCAGAGCTGGTACAAATTTAACTTTATCATATTTCAGACTCCTCTATCCTTATTTAATATAGAAAATGCAAAACAAGTTTTTATGTATATTGTGTAAAGACAGCTAACGTATAAAATATTAACAGGCATACAGAAAAAAATTGTCTTATTCCAGCAATTTTATAAAATCTAAAAGGAACCTACAAGCTTTTTTTTTTTCTTTTATTATTCAGAGCCAACGTCTAGGACTTGAGTACATCATCTCAGCCTGGACTACAACAAGCGATATGAACTCGACAATTTCTAGCTTGGGTTGTAAACCAATCGCCGTTCCGTACTATATCAGCTGACACTAGATTTTTCCCGCCTATCACTTCTCTCCCCTTGTATTCTTGAATTAGGGTAGCACCGATTGGTCTATAAAAATAACGGCTGAAGCTGCTGTTGAGAAGCGTTACCTTGAGGGTAGTTTTCCCTGAAAAGCGTGTAGAATCTTATGCGTGCTACATTTGAGCTCGCTGCAGTAGTCAGTGAAAAAGCTCTTTTCAGAGATTGTGAGCTTTGAAGGCATTCATACACAAGTTTAAAAAAAAAAAACACTATGGGAAATATTGACTTAATGATACCAGAAATTATGCCAAATAACATACGAAGGCGTATAGGGATTATTGATCGATCACACTCGCAACATTCGCGAGCTCGTCGAGCGCTGTTTGGTCCAGTGGATCACGAAGAAAACCTTAGGTTTGTCCACGAGGAGTTAAATAAGATCCAAGATAAAGATGAAGAAAGGTGGAATTTTAATTTCAAAACTGAAACATCATTGCCCTGGGGGTATTTACCAACACTAGCTAAAGACAGAAAAAAAGGCCTACAGCGATCTTACAAGACAAAAAGTCTTCAGAAGTGTAAAACATGTGCGAAAATATGTTGTTCTAGTCTTCTCGATATCGGACTCCAAGACGAGCCTACGCTAAAATTCAAACGCACTGTAGTCACAGCGTGTTCCACGAAAATATTAACAACAGATCCAGAAAAAAGCTACAACCCAACTTTACAACACCAGAAGAAAATTACCGGTAAGCATAACGCCTATCTACATTTGATTCTCAACTTTTTCTCTGATTATTTTATTGTAATTATCAATGAATGTTTGTAAATTTATTTTTAGGATATATATACTTTTAATTTTCTAAATCAGTTATTTTAATACTAATAGTATTGCTATTATGATTAAAGGTATGCCAGCTATATTAATCAGAAGTAAAAACTAACTGACTCAAAGTGCATAATATCACAAATTAATATACAAGAAAGGATCAGTACTACAATTCGTGAGGTACCCTAGCTGTAAACAACTTCGGAAGCATTAATTCCAATATTTCAGAAGGTTTGGAGATTTAGGCAAGCACTAACTCTAAATACAAAACTCACAGTGTAAAATAGTCTTAGTTAGTAAGCAATATTCAGACTTATTTTGAATATATTTACTAATATTAATAAAATTAACTTTAAAGAAAACTAAAGTATGTCATTACTTTCTAAACAAATGAAATAAAAACCAGTGATTTCTTCATAAGATACCGCAGTTTATCGGCAATAGTGCAATATACTTGAATATGCTTAATAAATTGTATAGTTATAATCTCTTACGTTAGTATACTTGTTTCTAGTAATTCACATCCAACAACAATAACAACTGATGAAAGATACCAGTTATGTTAAATATCATATTCGTAAACTAAATAGCACTTGTCGCCAATGTTCTGTCAGTATCATTTGTTCCCAAGCATAATAGAAAAACAAACACTAAAAGCATAAAGGCCTGAATTTGCTGTCTCAAAACAGTCTCTCTGCGTATATAGATATATTTATAATTATTATTACTACAAGTGCGAAACTGAATATCAATATGATCATTAGGTCCAAGTCTTTGTTTTCTTTTTATCAAAAAGGAATTTTATCAAATATATAGAAATATAATAACTGGAATTTTTCTGTCATGTCCAATTATCAAGCCCATATTAACTATTTTACAGCCAGTTATTAGACGCTTAATGTATAAACAAGTCTTTGAAACTTGGAATTGGAGTTTGCATGAGAGGCAAATATGGATTTTTAGTCAAGTAATTCATTACATAGACTAAAAATCAACCAATAATTATAATTTGGAAACAATATTATGGGATATATAATTAAACATTAAATGTTTGTTTGTTTGAAGTTAAACACAAAGCTACACAATGGGCTATCTGTGCTCTGCCCACCACGGTTATCGAAACCCGGTTTCTAGCGTTGTAAGTCCGCAGACATACCGCTGTGCTACAGGGAGGCAACATTAAATGCAAATAAATTTAATAACAATAATATAGGAATCAGAATTTTACATTTTAAGTTGTGTTTTCGCCCTCAGAACTGAATTTAGTAGAGCAGATTTGTGTTAAAAAGGTTAAGGTGTTAAAATCTAATCCTGGTTGCTTTATTGAACAGGAAAAGTATAAGCATACGTATGGTGTGGAGCAGACTATGGAGTAAACGGCATCTGTGATCAGTTTTGTTTTTCAGATCATTTGCTGATTCTATCAAGTTGCCATGTTGTTATAAAGTATGAAAAAGAGCGTACTTTAAGTGTCTAATTTAATGTAACATTTTCTGCAATTATTATCGGGTTACTTTTTCTTCTTCTTCTAATTACTAATTGGGATGTTCTTGTAGCAGATATCGCTTTAGATTGTGAAGGTGGAGTTGTATAGGATGTTTTTTACATTCCTGAAAAATCTAATTGCCTGATCGCCTAACTTAAGTGTGTCGTGAATGTATACTTGTTTATAGCGCCATTAAGTAACAACGTTCTCAGTTTACGACGCACGATAACCAAGGTGTTCAGTTATTCCTTGTATTGTTCATTATATTCAAATATTAGACATTTAAAATATTCGTTGACGTTAATCTTTAAAAAGGCAAGAGTGGCTTTACACATAAAGTGCCCTTATTGTAATTATATGATCAGACATATAAAAATGTGAAACTAATCAGTTGTAACATTTCTGACTACACGAACTTAACTAGGTGAAATGAGCTTTTATTTGTATAGTAGTGTAGGCCGTTGTTATAACATTGTTGATCGTGTGTTGTACCCATCATGTCACAGACTACAAAAGGTTACGATTTTAGTTCAAAATGACTTAAATGTATTTTATGTAATCCAGTAACACTGAATGCTATATGTACAGTAAGTCCTTAGAAAGTGTTATCATACAGTGTGTTGGGAGAAATTTAGCTAACTGCGTTTTGACTAAGACATAATTATGAAAATCATTGAATTGGTGTTTAATTCTCCTTAAAATGTGTACTTGTATTTATTATAAAACCCTTAGATACATTTTTCTCTTAGACTGTATTCAAGATCACTAAAGAAAGCATACAACATACTACTAAAGAAAGCATACAACATACCACTAAAGAAAGCATACAACATACCACTAAAGAAAGCATACAACATACCACTAAAGAAAGCATACAACATACCACTAAAGAAAGCATACAACATACTAATAAAGAAAGCATACGACATACTACTAAAGAAAGTATACGAGATACTACTAAAGAAAGCATACAACATACTACTAAAGAAAGCATACAACATACCACTAAAGAACGCATACAACATACTACTAAAGAAAGCATACAACATACTACTAAAGAAAGTATACGAGATACTACTAAAGAAAGCATACAACATACCACTAAAGAACGCATACAACATACTACTAAAGAAAGTATACAACATACCACTAAAGAAAGCATACAACATACCACTAAAGAAAGCATACAACATACCACTAAAGAAAGCATACAACATACCACTAAAGAAAGTATACAACATACCACTAAAGAACGCATACAACATACTACTAAAGAAAGTATACAACATACCACTAAAGAAAGCATACAACATACCACTAAAGAAAGCATACAACATACTAAAGAAAGTATACAACATACTAAAGAACGCATACAACATACTACTAAAGAACGCATACAACATACTACTAAAGAAAGTATACGAGATACTACTAAAGAACGCATACAACATACTACTAAAGAAAGTATACAACATACCACTAAAGAACGCATACAACATACTACTAAAGAAAGCATACAACATACCACTAAAGAACGCATACAACATACTACTAAAGAAAGCATACAACATACTACTAAAGAAAGTACACGAGATACTACTAAAGAACGCATACAACATACTACTAAAGAAAGCATACAACATACTACTAAAGAAAGCATACAACATACTACTAAAGAAAGTATACAACATACTACTAAAGAAAGCATACAACATACCACTAAAGAAAGCATACAACATACTACTAAAGAAAGTATACAACATACTACTAAAGAAAGCATACAACATACCACTAAAGAAAGCATACAACATACTACTAAAGAAATTATACAACATACTACTAAAGAAAGTATACAACATAATACTAAAGAAAACATACAACATACCACTAAAGAAAGCATACAACATACTACTAAAGAAAGCATACAATATAATACTAAAGAAAGTATACAACATACTACTAAAGAAAGTATACAACATAATACTAAAGAAAACATACAACATACCACTAAAGAAATCATACAACATACCATTAAAGAAAGCATACAAAACACCACTAAAGAAAGCATACGACACACCACTAAAGAAAGCATACAACACACTACTAAAGAAAGCATACAACATACCACTAAAGAAAGCATACAACATACCACTAAAGAAAGCATACAACATACTACTAAAGAAAGCATACAACATACTACTAAAGAAAGCATACAACATACCACTAAAGAAAGCATACAACATACTACTAAAGAAAGCATACAACATACTACTAAAGAAAGCATACAACATACTACTAAAGAAAGCATACAACATACTAAAGAAAGCATACAACATACTAAAGAAAGCATACAACATACTACTAAAGAAAGCATACAACATACTACTAAAGAAAGCATACAACATACCATTAAAGAAAGTATACAACATACTACTAAAGAAAGTATACGACAAGTTCTTCGCTTAAGATATATAATCTAAGTGTTAAAATTATTAAAGAAAACGTAGATGTTTTTCTCTCAAACTGTATAATTGTGTTGTGTAACATTCAGGTTATGTCTATGTTTTAAAGCTTTTTTTAAATTTTTGGTTGTACTTGGAGTGTCTATATAATAAAAGTTCAAACTTGTTATGAACTTATATTACGATTGATATCGTTAATTATTTGTGTACAGAAATACGGATTGCAGAATGTTAACTTTTCAGATTGTAGTAACCCCCGTATGGATTTTATCATATAGAAAACATGTATATCCAGACTGCCCTAGACAGAATCAAAATAATGGATTTACTAATGTTGTGTCGCTGTAAGATATTCAAAATAGTAAACTATCATTTATATTCAAATGTTTTCTGTTGCTGTACTAAGAGTTTGCAATATTTTTTCAATATAATTTCATTGTAATCATTGTGTTGCTGCTTAAAGAATATTACGTGGCTTCATATTTTATCTCTTGCTGAAATATAAAGCACAATATAGAACAGGATGTTGACACCTAGACAAACATTTACAAAGTGTGAATGAAGGAAATATTGTTGTCACTTGAGATAATTGTTGTATTCAGAATATTTATCACGTGTTCTTAAAATCTGACAGCTATTGACATCATACAATACCGTATCCTAGAAACTATTATATTTCTGGTGGTAAAGATAAGACAGTCGTGTTGTTGATGTCTTTCTTTTTAGATAAATTTCATGGTTCGATAAGTAGTTTGTTATAATACGTTATATCTAGGATTACTTTATATATATAGTGTTACCTTTTAAGATATATCAGTGGTCAATGTATCCCCCTGATATTTCTAATAATTATAGACTTGAAACTAGGCCTATTCGTAGGATATATTAGTACCTAATGTATCCCCATGATAATTCCTATAATTATAGATTTGAAACTATATAGTGTTAACGTTTTAGGATATATCATTACCT